AAGTCCGCAGACATACCGCTGTGCCACTGGGGGGTCTTGTTTGTTTGAAGTTAAGCACAAAGCTCCACAATGGGCTATCTGTGCTCTGCCCACCATGGGTATCGAAACCCGGTTTCTAGTGTTGTAAGTCCGCAGACATATCGCTGTGCCACTGGGGGCCTGTCGTTTGTATATACTCAACTTATACTTGGATAAATATTAAAATTGATTCAAAGTGATCCAAACAGTTTAAATCGTTTTATATAATAAGATCTTTGTACAATACCTAATACGTGTCAGCAATAGTAAATGTCTATGGTGCTAAATGTTTGATTTTTTTCTTTGAGACAGTCTTTAAGAGATATAGAATTGCTCAAGTGAGATATCTCATTAATTAGTATATTGTTTGTTTATTTGTTGAATTCCTCGCAAGCTCCTCAACAGTTCTCTGCGACAGCTGTCCCTCGTTCAGCAATGTATTACAAACTTGAGACAAGACATCTAGCCAACACTACCCGCTGCCAACGCTTGAGTCACTCTTTTACCAACAAAAAGAGGAACTGACCGTCACATTACAAAACCTCTATAGCTGAAAGGGAGGGAATGTTCGGTGAAAAGATTCGAACTCGAAATCCTCAAATTGCAAGGCGAGTGCCCTAACCATCAGGCCTTAATGTAAATGAAATATAATTATGATAATTTCTATGGTTTGAATGGAGATAAAGTTTGATTTTATTAGTTGTTTTTCTAGTTCCTGATAATATGACTCGTATACATTAATATAATAATTACTATTAATTTTTGTGATGCTCAAATATAACGTTCTTTTACGTGTCGTAACAATGGAGTTTGTAAAAGTAGAGTTATATTTTTTACAATACAATTTTCTTTTGAAAAGGGGGCAGCGAGTGGGCCTGAAGGTTTCTGGGATTATAGGCCTGGATCAATTTCGTGTGATACTGTCAAATATTCCCGCAGTTTAATTTAGCTGAGGACGCTTTATAAAGGTGAGATCATGTATGGTAGGGTGCTTGGTCTATATTTAATGATTCGAGACGGCTGTAGATAGGCCTTAGTATATATGTCATAAATAGAAAATGCAATACAATATTTTGAAAAAAAATGCATTAATTGCACGTTGTTTTCACTTGGTACCGTACCCAGAATAACTTAATTAAGTAAACAAATTTGAAAATTTCTATCATATAAATTATTCAATGGCAAATTAATCCCAATAATTAAAATAAAAGTACAAAAAAAAGAAATGAAAATCCAGCATTGTTACTCTAGGGGGTTAAGAAGGAAAAGAAACATTAACTTGCAATACATGATAGAAAAAAAGCCAAGTTTACTTATTACTTAAATCAATCTTAAAATTTAATAATTGTAATAGTTGCAATAGTTAAATATCTCACACAAGTTGAAAATACTTTACAATTATCAATTCAAACTAGATAAATACATTGGGTGTAGATTTTCTTTATAAGCACACCATTCTGCTCTTTCATTGTAAATGAAAGTTTGAGGCTACGTAGCTTTTTTAGTGTGTTTATAAAGGTTCCTATTGACTCAACGATAGGTTTAAATGCTTAAACATAAGAACAAATAAAACAAAACTTATACCAAACTGTATTCCCACAACTATAATAAGCCTATCTGGATGACAATATACACTAAGTACAGAAACTTATAGGT